TAAAACACCAATGGAGGTATGGACTGGAAAACCTTCTTCTGACTATGACTATATCCGTATTTTTGGTTCACCTGCTTATTTTCATGTGACTGAAAATAAACTTGATCCTAGAGCCAAAAAGGCTATCTTTCTTGGTTTTAGTAGTGGTGTCAAAGGTTACAGGTTGTGGTGCCCAGAGATGAAAAAACTTGTAATCAGCAGAGATGTGACATTTGATGAAGAAAGTATGTACAAAGGCTCTGAGAAGAATGTGAAAGATGTCCAACAGGTGGAGCTTGAGAAAGTTGCCTCTGGTACTTCAAATCCTATTTCCGCTGATGTCGAAGCCACTACAAGTGAAGAAGTTGGAGACCATGAGGATGTTGAAGAAGTTGAACTTGAAGATTCTATTCAAGTTGAAGAGGAAGTTTCACTTCAAGAGTCTATTGCCAAGAATAGAGGAAAGAGACAAATTACCAAGCCAGCTCGGTATAGTGACTATGTTTTTCTTTTGCTCTTCCTATTATCACTGATGAGATTCCATCTAATTTCGAGGAAGCCATTGAGAGTGAGGAGAAGAAGAGGTGGTGCAATGCCATGGGTGATGAGATGAATTCTCTCTTGAAGAACAAGACTTGGGAGTTAGCTAAATTGCCTAAGGGCAAGAAAGCTATCGGTTGCAAATGGGTGTATGCCAAGAAGGAAGATGCTGATGAGAAAAGCAATGTGAGATTCAAAGCAAGATTAGTTGCTAAAGGGTATGCACAAAAGGAGGGCATTGACTACAATGAAATCTTTTCTCCGGTTGTGAAGCACTCCTCAATTCGCATTATGTTAGCTCTTGTTGCACAGTATGATCTTGAGCTTGTGCAACTTGATGTGAAGACGGCTTTCCTACATGGTGATTTGAATGAAGAGATTTATATGTGTCAACCGGATGGGTATATAGTGAAAAGGAAGGAGAATTTGTTTTGCAAATTGAAGAAATCACTTTATGGCTTAAAGCAATCTCCAAGGCAATGGTATTTGAGGTTTGATAAATTTATGAGAGGCCAAAATTATTCTAGAAGTCAATATGATCATTGTGTGTACTTCAAGAAGTTGCAAGATGGGTCTTTCATTTATTTATTGATATATGTTGATGATATGTTGATTGCCTCAAAGAATGTTGAAGAGATTGAGAAATTGAAGAAACAAATGAAGAATGAGTTTGAGATGAAGGATCTTGGTGAAGCGAAGAAGATCATTGGCATGGAGATCACTAGAGATAGAGAGAAGGGTTTGGTCAGTTTGAATCAAAGACAATACCTTGAGAAGTTGATTCGGAAGTTTGGAGTTCATGATTCAACTAAACCGGTTAGTACCCCTTTGGCTCCTCATTTTAAATTGACTTCTCTACAATGTCCTAAAAATGATAAAGAGAAGCTGCAAATGAAAAATATACCATATGCAAATTTGGTTGGTAGTTTGATGTATGCAATGGTATGCTCTAGACCGGATATTGCTCATGCAGTTGGCATGGTGAGTCGATATATGCATAATCCAGGTAAAGAGCACTGGCAAGCAGCTAAGTGGATATTGAGATATCTCCATGGTACTCGAGATGTTGGTTTATGTTTTGAGAGAGATGACTCTGGTATTGGTCATTTTGCAGTTGGTTATGTTGATTCAGATTATGCAGGTGATCTGGATGGAAGGAAGTCTACTACAGGCTATGTGTTTACTATGGCTAAAGGACCAGTTTGTTGGAGGTCCATTTTGCAGTCGTCTGTTGCCTTGTCTACTACAGAGGCTGAATATATGGCAGTTGCTGAAGCTATATAAAGGAGGCCATTTGGATACATGGGCTGATTAGAGATTTGGGGGTTGATCAGAAGCAGGTGGAGGTACATTGTGATAGTCAGAGTGCCATTTATTTGGCTAAGTATCAGGTTCATCATGCGAGGACCAAGCACATAGATGTACGTTATCACTTTATTCGTGAAATTGTTGGTGAAGGGGAAATCATTCTCCAGAAGATTCCAACTAAAGACAACCCCGCTGATATGTTGACTAAGGTTGTTGGTGTAGCCAAGTTTGTTCATTGCTTGAACTTGGCTCACATTTTGGCTATATAAAGAAGGCGTTGAGCAGTAGGAGTTTTGGAGCATTTGGCTCGGCATGAGTTGTTCTCTTGCTAGTGTTTGGGAGTGATGTTGTGTGCTAATTGTGTTGGTTGGCTTATCATGGCGTTTTTCGGAAGTTGGCCAAGGTGGAGATTGTTGGATAATGGCCAACTTGCAAATACTTTCTGCTAGACAAAAATCCAAACAACTTTTGGCTATAAAAAATTATAAAGAAAGAAGGTGGACAACACCTTTCCTTGTTTTGGGGAGGAAAATAGGGAAAATGTTTTTTGTTCTCTTCAACACCCGTGGGTGTTGGTTCAATATGAGTACAAGTTGCCTTTGAAGCAAATAGAAAAATTGAGAGCTCATTTCGGTTTGAAGAAAACAAGAGAAGAAAGAGCTCTTTTTGTAGAGATCAAGGGAGAGTTGCAGAGAGTCCAAACAGAAGAAGAAGCTGCTGCTTCATTTGATTAGTAATCATCAACCAAAGTAATTGTTGTAGTAATAGCCTTGAGCTATATGTATAGAGAAGAAATTATTCATTATATTTCTTTCTCTATTTGTTTCTTTGGTGTGTGAGAGCTATTGGGTGTATTGGGCTTTTGGGTTGTGAGATTGCCAACACTTTGTAAACTCCCATTTGGTTGATAGTGGATTATTGGGTGAGCTCCTACTGCTCCGAGGACGTACTCCAGTTACACTGACTGTGGAGGAACCTCGTTAAAATCTTTGTGTCTTTAATATTTTGTTCTTGCATTTAAATTTGATAAATTTCCTGTGGGTTAGCTTGAGTTGGTTCCAACGAGTTTGGTGCTATCCTAGCACAACATACTGAAGAAACTGTTTGATCATCAATGACTGGTTTTGTTAGAACGAGATTGAAACGGGTCACTTACCCGCTCGACGACCGGGTGAAAGATAGACTCGTAGGAGGATACAGCTCCGGACCTAGTGACGCCAGCAAAGGAAGCGAGCACTCCGACGACTACGACTCCCCTTGCCTCTCCGAGCTCGTCCGCGACTGGGTTTCACGACAACCAGTCGAATCGGGTATTGGGCCGTGGAAGGGGCTTTTTAGTTTCTTCTTTTTTTCTTCTGTAGGTGTATGGGTAAGGAAGGGACTTTTTAAAAAATTGGTGGAAGTTTCTGTAGGTGTATGGGTAAGGAAGGGACTAATTAGGAACAAAGAGTGGGGTTAGGAGGTAAGTCCATATCTTCCTCAGTCAGAGTAATATTCAAATTAGGGAAAAGACAAGTCCTCACTATATTTCCTTTACATTTCCTTATTTGAGCACACTGTTAAGCGGCTTCTGCTTGTGTTATCTTTAATTAACATTTCCATTTAAACAGGCTCAGAGGATTGGCATGATCAACACACTGCAAGAAATGTGTAATGCTCCACTTGGCATGATCAAAGTTAAGGTGCAACTCTTTTTTATATACGCCACTTATCCTTTTTAATTCTTCCCATTGGGGTGGGTGCAGGCAGAATAAGCATCTTGAACCTTGGCCATCATTGTTAAGTTCGGTTTGTTCTTCTTATGGTTCTGTAGCTTTAGTTGATGCTGTTGGTTCTTCCTTTCCATCATATTGAAATATACTATTAATAACAATATTAAATACAAGTGTTTGTGGTGGTTTAAGTGTATTGATTTGTACATTTAAGTACCCATCTCTGCACATTGTTTCTCATATTCTCTCTGATATGGTGGCGGGGATTTAATTTTCTATGTGTTATAGTGAAACAGATAATTCATTGGACACTCAAGTACCATTCCTCCCTTTGGTTGAGGTTTCAGTGAAGGCTTTACTTGTCATATCATCAGTAGCTCTACCTGCAGCTCCAAGTGCAGCGACACGAGTTTTGTTCTGTGCTCATCATCCATACTTGGTTGGAACTGCAAAGAGAGACGCAGTTTGGAAGGTAAATCTTTCTCATCAGTAGCTGTATAATCTGATACATTCTAATGCAAACCTTCCTAGTATTGGGCCGTGGAGATAGCTCTATGCTTTGTTTGATGCTTTTCCAAACCTCACTTGGTGTTTCTCAATTCCAAATTTGTCAATTCGGAAAACAGGAATCTGTAATATGTCTTACAGCATGGTATTTTTGAGATAGCTCTACTGCCGGTTGATTAGCTCACCTGGCCCTCAAGTTGTGCCAAGTTTCAATTTTACAATATAGACAATCCATAGTGGAGGTTACTTACATTAGTACGGAATTGATTGTAAATTTATTGTGTAAAGATAAAGTAGATCCCACTTTGTTGGCATTTATAGAAAGACCATGATGAAATTGTTTTGCATCTTTTCAGTTTTTACGAATGATAAGTGTTATTAATTTATGAAGTGATGGATCAACTTTTATGTTATTATGAAATCTGTTGGAGAAGCAGAGTATATGGACTGATATGAAATTCGTTGACATGTTTATGGCTTGGTTTAACTTTTCAGTTATTTTTTTGTGATAATTTCTGTTAAGGAGAAGCAATGGAGAAAATGATAGCTACAGAAGGACTCGAATGCATTTCTTAAAATTCTGCACTTGCTCTAAACACCAAATAGACATCTGATCAAATGATGAATTGTAATTAGAAGGATGTAAGAATGCCATCTTTGCTTATACATTGTTCTATGTGCACTATAAAATATTGAAAGAACAGAATGTCATCTTTCAGTATATACACGCAGACTCATTCGGTCTTCTCACAAAGTTTTGCAATTTTGTTCATCTGTATGTGTGTTTTGTGTATGAACATGGAGGTGTTCTTCTTGTACAAATTAAAATGTGAAAATGAAGCTATGAATTTGGTTTAGTTTGGTTTTTATTAATTTGGTTTTTTTCTTCTTTTGCAGTTTCTGGTTGAAGGGTTTTGATCTTTTTTTAATCAGTTGAAAGCGATAGACGTGGGTTTTTATTTTGTGAAAAGGTATAAATTCTCCACAGCAGATTTGCTCCTCCTCCTCCCATTTTCTCTCACTCTCTATCATATAATATGGGATTTATTTTGTGTCCTATAATAGTACTTGTTAACCATATATATCTCTTTGCAATGAATGCCTCAGGATGTGGTGTTATATGCCTAAACACGTATATGTGCAGAGGTTGATGCATTGAAGGAGGAAGTGACAACCCTAAAGGGTCAGCTTGCGATCTAGGAAGAGCAGATGAGGGCGCAGCTAAGGGCCTAGGACGAGGAGATGAGGAACTATGCCGGGACGGTGAGAGACCTTGTACAAGACATACAGATGTCCGGCCTCCAAATCTCGCTACCACCACCTCATCTTGCTCCACCTTCGACCTCAGAGCCATCTTGTCGTGCCAATACCTAGTAGCCTGATGTATTAAAATTAGTTCACTTGTAGTTTTTTCTTTTTTGTTCGAACATCTTGTATGTACATTTTCATATATTTTATAATTAAAATATAATTAAATAATTTTGCTTGGTTAACTAATTATTCTTCAAACTTTAATTATAATATTTATCAAAAATTTAAAAAAAAAAAATTATTTTTGACAAAAAAAAAAGGGGTTTGCGCGACGAACAAACGGGCTTTGCACGACGCAGGACGTGCGTCGCGCAAAGTGGCTTTGCGCGACGCATGTTGCTTGTACGTCGCACAAAGTCTAGCGTCACTTCCTTGGCGCAACGGTTAGCGCGCGACGAATGTTGCGTCGCGCAAACCTTTAGGCAACGATTTTTGACTTTGCGCGACGAAGGTACCTACGTCGCGCAAAGTGTTTTTTCTACTAGTGTCGGTTTAATGCAATTACAATTAAGAAAATTCATCACACATTAATCCACATTCGACAAAATAATACAGATGAGTAATTACGGTACTGAAGATGTATTACATGAGAAATTAGATGGCATTGTGTGTGGCAGGAATACAAAAGGGAAGTTTGAGCTATTCGCCCTTGTCTTTTTTTTTTTTCTTTTTTATAGTGCCATTAGCTTGTTGATTGTCAACATACCAAATGGTTCGGGAAGGCAAGGCAGGGTTTGAGCTGAGAGTTTTTGTGCCACAAATAACATCGTGGGTCTGGACGCAGGACGCGTTCGTATACAGGCCAAGGCCATTGTCACTACAAGCACCACTGCCTTTGCAGATTCATTGGTTGGCGGCTCCAACCTTTGGTCTAACAAATCTTTCAGGAGCAATTCTACAGTGTCCCTCCTTGATTTTGATGATTCTTGTAGCTGGGACTCTAGCATATCCCCTGGGTGCCTTCCCATCATGACTTCAAGCGCCACCACTCCAAAGCTATATACATCACATTTATCCGTGACTCGCATAGTGTATGCAAGCTCTGCACATTAATAAAAACAAAACTGGCTACCTTAAAACATATCCCAATAAGCAAAAAGATGAACCATAAATGTACAAATTAAGTTTACATTACCTGGTGCTATGTAGCCAAATGAACCAGCATATTCTGTCCAGTTGGATGAATCAGTACTCAATAACCTGGCTATTCCGAAATCTGAGAGACGAACCTCGAAATCAGATTCAAGCAATACATTGTTGACGGTTATGTCACGGTGCACAATTGGTGGAGAGCAATCATGGTGCAAGTAAGAAAGTGCATGAGCAAGTCCTTGCACAATTTTGACTCTAGTAGCCCAGCCAAGTTCATTAACACCTTCAACTCCATACAAAGCTTTTCCCAGGCTTCCTCTCTCTAAGTATTCATAAAGCAGGAATATGCAACCCCCCCTTCTTGAACAGAAGCCATAGAGCCTTATGATGTTCCGGTGCCGGATGCTTGTCAAAGTTCGGATTTCATTCTGAAAGCTATGGAGATTAATTGCTGGAATATCATTAGAGTCTGACATGTTAAGCCTTTTAACTGCAACAACCTGGCCTGATTGCAACTTTGCCTTGTAAACCCTTCCAAACCCTCCTGTCCCAATGCAGTACTTGTCATGAAAGTCATCTACAGCCTTCACAACTTCCGCAAACGTAAACTTTACTTCCTCTTGCAATATCATTGACTCCAAACTCTCAAAGTTTTTAGAAGTGTTGACTTTGTTCGAAACGAGACTGGATTTTTTACGGAACATAAGACCAATGACAGTTGTAACCATTAATAAACCACAAACAGGCACAAGGATACCAATTAGAACTCTTTTGTTACTCTTTTCGGAATTTCTGTTGGGGCAAGTGGGTATATCGTCTAGTCCTTCTACATGCCCACACAAGCCCGAGTTTCCAACAAAAGCATTTGCTGGTGCCGATTCGAAAACGCATGGGATTGGGCCAGTCAAGTTGTTATAAGAAAAATCAAAGTCACGAAGAAATGGCATGTTGACAAATGATGGGATTTGCCCTGAAAGATGGTTGTGTGAGATATTGAGAACCTCTAATCTTGATCCTAGAATCTGAGGGATCACTCCTGTCAAGTGGTTCCTTCTTAGATTGAGCGTCAACAGAAAGTTCATATTTTCAACTTCCGTCGGAATCTCCCCACTGAGTTCATTGGACTGAAGTTGCAAAGAGACCATTTTAGTCCAATTGGAGACTAGAGAAGGAAGGATTTGACCAGTAAATAGATTACTATCTAAACCCAATTTGACGAGGTTGTTCAAATTGGACAAGGACAGAGGCAGTTCCCCGTTGAGTTGATTGGAAGCCAGAGACAAGTGGTTGGGGTTTGTACAAAGACCAAGCTCAGAAGGGATAGAAGAGTTTAAGGAGTTGTATGAAAGATTTAGGTACTGGAGCTCTCTGAGTTGGCCTATAGAGAGTGGAATTTCCCCTTCCAGAAGATTCATACTCAGGTCAATATGTTGAAGACCAGAAATCAAACCTATATTGTCCGGAATCGTGCCAGAGAATCGGTTATTAGCTAAACCCAATTCGACGAGGTTGTTCAGATTGGACAAGGAAAGAGGCAGTTCCCCATTGAGTTTATTGGAAGACAAGTACAAGTAGGTGAGGTTTGTACAAAGAACAAGTTCAGAAGGGATTGATGAGTTTAAGGAGTTGGATGAAAGATCAAGGTACTGGAGCTCCCTGAGTTGGCCTACCGAGGATGGAATTTTACCTTCCAGAAGATTCATACTCAGGTCAATACGTTGAAGACCCAAAATCAAACCTATATTGTTCGGAATCGTGCCAGAGAATTGGTTATTAGCTAAACCCAATTCGACGAGGTTGTTCAGATTGGACAAGGAAAGAGGCAGTTCCCCGTTGAGTTGATTAGAAGCCAGGGACAAGTGGGTGAGGTTTGTACAAAGACCAAGCTCAGAAGGGATAGAAGAGTTTAAGAACTTGTATGAAAGATCAAGGTACTGGAGCTCCTTGAGTTGGCCTATCGAAGGTAGAATTTGGCCATTCAAATTATTTTGAGACAAGCTGAGGAACGTCAAGTTCCGGCATTGAGATATAAATTCTGGGAATTCAGAATGATATAGATTATCACCTTGCGTAGACATATCAAGGTAGGTCAATGAAGGCATGCCTGCAAATTCTGACCAATCTTGATCAGTATAGTTAAAATTGTTTAATCCAAGGTCCATGTACCATACCTTTTGGAGATTGCTCAGTTGATGAGGGATGGTACCAGAGAGACTGTTTTCGCGGAGATTTAGATACTGAAGCTCTGTTACCTGGTCAATCTCAGATGGAATTTGTTGATCAAAAAAGTTGTTGCCCAAGTCCAAAGATATGAGCCTGGAGAGATTTCCAATGGCATACGGTATACGCCCTCCGAAACTGTTGCCATTTAGATTGAAGTGGGTGAGATTTGGAAATAATGGAAAGTCGAAAAGGGACAGTGATCCGATAATGTGCATATTGGAGAGGTCTATTTTGGAGACTGTTCTGGTTTTGGAGCAGGAAATGGCAGTCCAGTTGCAGAGGTTGTTGAGGTTGGTGAGGGACCATGAATTGAGTAGCCAAGGTGTTGCTGATGATGATGGTGAAGAAGATAAGCCGTCTTTCCATTTGACGAGCGATTCTGCTTGTTTTCTTGGAGATATAGATGTCGTTTTGATCAGTGGGAATGCGGACAGCAGCAGGAGCATATAAAGAAATGTCATGGTTTAGAGTTGCAGTATGATATGTTTTTTCGCCAGTTTGTATGCGTCAGAAATAAATATGGGAGCTAGTAACAACTTTGGAGGTGCAGAGTTTCTAATCCTTTCTTTACGCTTGGAATTTCTGAAAGGATTTTCAACTGAATCAAGAGCTGTATGGTGCCATTGTTGACTGGCCCGGTCTAGTCTTCCCGTCAAGCGTGGAGTTGACGCATATAATATCCGTCGTGGACGTCAGGCGTGTGGGTTGAGGCATGTAATCGTATGGCACACACGAAAACGGGGTGCAGTCTCTCCTGTGGGAACTCCAAGATTTGATACTACGGTCGGACCCATGTTCCTCCAAGAAATGCATTTGGGCTGGAAGTGGGTTGTGGGGTGTAAGCTGGGCTTGGGTTTAACACGGCAAATTACACACAGATTGAGATAGGTACTTTTATTCATTTAAAGTTTGGAAGTGGGTGGTTGGCATTGGTGTTTGGATCAGACCGAGATGGGTTGTTGTCGGTGGGTGCGAGATTTAGTGAAAGGAAACCACACACAGATTGAAGAAGGAAGAGGTAGGTTCTGCGTCATCGTCATCCTTTCCGCTCTTCGTTTTCTATTTGTTTCCTAGAAATCTCTCGAATTCTCTTTTCGTTTTCTATACCGAATTTTTCTAGCCATTTTCTTCCAATCGATCCCTTTTAGGAATTCAATTTCCCCACTTGGATTCGCCCTTCAGTTGCTTATATTGCTTCTCATAAGAAGAGAGACGACTCTGTGCAATAAGCTAGGGAAAGGAATTTGTATACATTATTTGTTAATCTGATTCTGCTAAATATTAATTTAATGTAATTGTTTGCCTTGTACTTTTGCCTTTTAGAATTATAACGTTTGATGGTTATTTTGTGTTTCGGTTTAAGCATTGGTCCATCTCATTTTCCATGGTGAAGATATCTGCAAAGTACTCTGTGGTACTCTCTCTCTCTCTCTCTCTCTGACAAGTTCCGATCTCGACATCCTTAAATACCATGATAGGCATGTGCTGGCCGACAACTAAAATAAGTAATTACAAAGGAATACATCCATGCAGAATCATGTTCAGAACATAAAACTAATCAAGAATAATATGAAAGAATCATTATGAAATAAATGGGATTACCAAGAAAGTGGATCCTACACCGAGAGGGCTTGAAGATACCTATGCAGAAATATCCTGAGGTCGGGATTGTATGCCTCGATTCTCATTCTCACTCCTAAGGGGACGTAAAACCAAAAATGTGAGTGGACCAAAGTTTATAATAATAAACTAATAATACGAAAACCGATTTCTTACTGAACATACTAACCTCCTGTTTTGAAAATGTATATAATACTACATATAGTTAGTTTTCTGAAAATTCTATCATGCTATGAAATCATTTGTAAAACAAGTATGGGTAAAACCATGCTCAATAACGGTGCAATCATCGCCCGAAGGTAAATCCATAAATCTCATCAATATTGTACTATCTAGGACTATCATAGTCACACACCCGAAGGTAAAGCTGTACGACATTGGGTTACGTCAATGAAGAAACATGGTAGGCCCCATCACCCGAAGGTGAAGCTATACGACTCCGGGTTACGCCAGTGAAGAAATATATAACATCACACACCGACACTAGCTGTGGTTAGTGAAGCTATCCGACAATGGTTTCCTCAGTGAAGCTGCGGATATGACATAAATATCTCACTTCTCATTCGCCAATGAAAATGCATATGCAACGCTATGTGAACATCATGACTATAGCTTTTCGTGTCAATCATGGGAAATCTTGATCTCTCTCTGTTTGTTGAAATTGGAAGTTGGGGACGAATGCATCCTCTTCTTTGAGAAGAAAATCGACAACTTTCCCAGTTCCAGGTTCAGTTCTTGCCTTTTCTTCTGTTTTATTTCTCGGTATCTTTAATTTCTGTCTGTCTAGCACTGTAACAAGAAACCCTAGTTCCCAAATCCCGTATAATCAATTCAGTCGCACTCTGAGCTGATCTTCGTTATTAGCCCTTGTGTTTGGAAAGTGTTGCTTTTTCTTCTTCCACATTACCCACTTAGGGTTTTGGTTTTAGCAGAAAGCCCCCTGCTTTCTTCTGTTTGTGTTGTGTTTCGTGAAGAAATTGGAGATGGGGGGTCAAGATTTGAGGCCCACTGTGTCTTCTCTCAAGCGTCTGTGTTTCCCTGATTCCTATTCCGATTCTGATGATGCCGTTACAGTTTTGGGTGATACGGTCAAAAGGCAGAGGATTCATGATTCAGATAATGGAGGACTCGATTAGGGGTCCTCAAGCAGCACCACCGAAGCATATGATTGCTGGGATGATGATCTGTTAGGATCCTTAATTGACGAGTTTGAGCTTTTGCCTGATTCTGCTGTTGCGGCCTCTGCTGCAGACGAGGCTGCTGTCGTACCTTAGCTAACTACTCATCTCCGTCATCATCATCACGAGATTGAGGAGCGGCCAAGAACCACGGATGAAAGAGAGTTGGATGATGAGGAGGACTTCATCACTGAATTCTTTAATCATATTGGAGGAGAGGATGATGAAGACACAAATCAAGATCATATACATCAAGCTACTGAACCTGATCACATTACTCTGCTCATCACCATCATCCCGTTCCTTCCCTTTCAAATCATTATTTTTCCAGTTGTGGTTGGAAACATTGGAAGGCCACGGGCCTCGGTTCTCCATGTTCTCTTGATTTGCTTGCTCAGTATCATCATCATCTAGAAGCGGAGCAGGAGGAAGAGGACTTTACACGGAGTATACACGCCTTGCGTGAATCAAGTTGTCAAGCTATTAGCGTCAGCTCTTGTTTTTATACTAGTAGTAGGGTTCAAGAATTCAGATGAGCACGGTTACCTTTCAGCTTTTTCTTTCCGACTTCTGGTTTAATCATAGTTAGTTTATTAGTTTTCAGTCTTTTTATTTACACGGAAGATGTGACATAGAAACAAGCGCAATGGCGTTCTAGGATTCATATAGCCGACCCCACTTAGTGAGAAAAGACTTTGTTGTTGTTGTTGTCGTGGATAGAATAGTTTTCAGTCTGTTATTTCGTCTAGTTGGTGGTCTTACTCTGTATTGTTGTCAATCTTGAGGAAATCTGTAGACAATATACATATGAATGTACATGAAGTTCCCAATAGTTCTGATTGCACTTACTTTTGTTTTCGTCATTTCTTTCAGCACACTCTGAGTTTTCGTTTCAATTTTAAGACGTTATCGTGTCGTGAACAGTAGTACTCAGTTTATCACTATTTGTTTCGACCTCTGTTTCGTTTCATGAATAATCAATCTGCTAATGACTGATTCCAGACGTGTTTCTTATGAAATCTTCTCCAACATAGTTTTGGACAGGAAGAACATAAAGGTGTATTAGAGTTGGGAGAAAATCTTGTTACCCCTATAAAAAATGAATATGAACGCTATGTGAACATCTATGTGAACATCGTGACTATGACTTATCATGTCAATCATAGGAAATCGTGACTGTGGCTTGGACATAGGAAATTAAAAAAATCGTGATTTCCTATGATTTCCCATGTCTAAGTCATAGTCACGATTTCCTATTGTAAAACATATCCAAGTTGAGCAATTTCTATGACATTAGTATACCGTGACTATGGCTTCTCGTGTCAATCATGAAATGCTATGTGAATAAAAATAAGATATAAATCTTTTTCGTGTCGAAATCAAAACTTGCAATCCAACATTCACCCTTAAATATTTGGGTTCATTAATCTAATATAAAAATCTAAAAAAATTGACAATAAAATGCCTAATAACCAAGAGTGTGGATTCTGGGAATCCATAAATCGTGTCCGTTCATCATATATCATACGGCTATAAATTATTTTAAATAATTTTATTTAAAATTAAATATGAATAATATCTGATAAAAACTGATCGCATGATGTACGATAAACGAACATGATTTGAAGATCCCAACATCCTTACAAAGAGGATCCGAAGAGGATCCTCGTACGATAAGCAAAAGAACTGGACGCGGCAGGATAAAAAATGGGCCAAGAAGTAAAATAGGGAACCCAGCCCAATCGATTTTTTTTTCCTGCGTTATTTTAGGGTTTTGTAGATATGAAAATGCCACGTGATTAAAACGCGCTTAAGCGGTGAGCCTTGCAAGTTTGCAACGTTAACATCCAATTCCCAAACCAAACGGTCATATTTTCTTCCATTGAAATTTCAAATCCACTCCCTCTCTCTCACTAGATCTCTCTCTCAAGATCTTTCTCTCTCGCTCTCTCTGCGCGTTCGAATTTGAACCAGGATTAGAATTCAGTGCTCCAGCAGTCTCCGGTTGAATTGAATTACAGAATACTTGAAATCGATTCCTCTTCAGTTGCTCTTGTTTGGGGACGAAGACAGCGATTGAGGAGACGTCGACGAGCTGCTCTCCTCGGCGAGCGAGCGAAATCGGCTTCCAGGTTTCCCTT